TGAAATGATCTTGAAGTTTGAGTGTTTTTCATTACCACCTTTGAACTAATACGCATAGGAAACTACATTGGTCATAATGTGTGGTCTAACTGCAGGTAAATGCTTCGTACTGTTTCAGCATAACAAAATTTGATAATGTCCCATTTGTGGTATTGGTAAACATGTGCAATTCTAATTAAAATCATTCAACCTGTTGTGCCTGTTTCAGCTCCTTAGAGTTCATCTGACTTCCATCCTTTTTCCCATGTTTCGGTAAATATATTTCTTTCCAGCATTTATTCATTTCTCTTTTGAATGTTATTATTGAATCTATTTCCACCAACATTTCAGTTTTTAGTTTTGTCTTTTTCTGGAAAAGTCTGTCTTTTTTTTTTGAGTAGCCTCTGGTTCTTCTGCCAATCATTCTTTAAAATTTGTATCCTGCTGCCAGTTCAGTAAAATTCTCAAAGGCTTTGACATCCGTCTTAAAGTGTGTTGCCAAGAATTGAATACAGTATTCGAACTGAGGTCTAAACAGTGTATTTTACACCACAACTTCCTTTTCTTAATTATCTTTCCTTTAATAATGTTGATCCCATGTGATTTTTATTAAGATTTCCAACCTTCGAAGATTGGTATGAATACAATCGCAGGTCCCTATGTTTCTGCTCTCCCTTTTAAAATTATACTATTAAGTTACATTCTTCCTCCCAAAATACTATCACTTCACATTTCTGTGTTAAATTTCATCTGCCCATTTTACCAGCCTATGTCTTTTTGATATCTGTTACTAACCATCTCAGTTCTAAATTTCATTTCCATGAACAAAGTTTGAAATTATATCCTGTAAACTCAAGTCATTAATTTTATATCAAAAATAGCAATGTTCAAAACTGGAGTCTTGGGAATACCACTTAATATTTTCTTCTCATCTGAAAAACAGCCATTCACCACTATTGTCTGTTTTCTATTCCTTAGTCAACTCTTGTCCACACTGCTGTGTGTGAACCAAATCTCTGAGTCAGAATTGCTGTGACAATGAGCGCGAATGTTGTTGTTTGGACGATGAACTGTCTCCGGCTCTTGCCACCTGTCATTGTGTGGGAAGGATTTGCAGTTTGGTACTCAGTCTGTTTAGTTAGTTATTTGGTCCTAAATTGGGATTCAAACCCAGAACTTCTGACTCGGAGGCACAAACCATACTCACTGTAAGATCTCCCTATTCACAATAATGCCGTCTTTTTAATCCCATTGGCATCTTTTTTTAACCAACCTGCTGTGTGGTACATAACCATATACATAGCAACTGCATCAATCCTCTGGTACTGCTTTGAAACATCTGATTAACTCAAGTAATTTTTTTTAAATGAAAACTGTAATTGCCTTGCTTCTAAGCTGATTTAAGATTCCTTCTTGTTTTGTTTATTTCAGCTAAATGTATATTTGCAGGAGGAGTTTAAGAGAGATAATAGGATTCAAGATTCTCTCCACAAAGATCGTGTCCTCACTGATATTCTCCTAAAGAATGATCAAGATGGAGATGGCTACATTTCTGCCAGAGAGTATAATATTTTTCAGCATGATGAGCTGTAGCATTTCTGCGCCAAGATAATTTTACATTTACCTAACTAAAATGCAGTAATTCCACTATTTTTTAAAACGACTTGTTTTGCTACTTCAGAACACAGTGTTTATTAGAATCTCTACCTTTTGATGTATTGAAATTACTTTTAAGCCCAAAGTAGAGACTGTGGAATTGAATCACTCCAGTTCATATTCAGGAAATTTTGGACTGTATTACAGCCATTCAAATAAATATTTTTAAATGATCAGCTGCAATCTCTTTTATGCCTCATTATTTGGTATTGACAATTGATTAACTGATTCTTGAAACTACTGAAGTTGTACACCAAATTGGAACAGGCAAGGCAATATGTAAATGATGCAAGAGTTCAGGAAACTTGAATTTTGAAAATAAAATCATTACTTCTCACTGTTCAGCCAGCCCTTTTTCAAGGGATACTGTAAATCAACTAACTAGAAAAACTATATTCTCTGTTTTCACTGTAATTAGAAATACAGTTGATCTGTTAGAATTGATTCTGAAGTCCAATACTGCCTTCAACTTTGCCTGTTGAAGAGGACAATGTTTAAAGGAAGTAGTGTATACCCTTCTTCTAAATTTAAAAAACTCCCTTGTAAGAATAATCACATCTGGAGTGAGAGGAGACTTCCCCAGCCAGGTGATCGTTACAGGCAGTTCAGGTGAAGATAATGAGAAGTGCTTTCATTGATGAGGAAACCACTAGAGGGCACTAACACCAATATATAAAGATGGTTCATAGAGCATCAGTGTATACACAAGTTCAGGACATGGTAAATCAGTTGGAATTGGAAAGGATTTGGACAAAAGTTAGTCTCTCTTACAGTGAGATAGCAGAGATCAATCTTTTACGCTGTCAGAGTCCAAGACGTCTACTGTTCTCATTACATGGCAATCTCTCATTATAACAAACTCGCCAGCTGAGACAGCACCTTGGTAAATCTCTGCACCCTTTCCAGTGCAGTCACATCCCTCATAATGTGGATTCCAGAACTGCACACAGTACACTACCTGGGTTAGCTATTCACCCTATCCATGCCCCTCATGGTTTTATAAACCTGTCTAAGGTCACCCCTCAAACCTCTGACACTCCAGGGAAAATAGCCTCTCCCTGTTGCTCAAACCCTCCAATCCTGGCAACATTCTGCATTCTTCCAAGTATAAAAACATCTTTCCTATCACAGGGAGACCAGAACTGAATGCAGTATTCCGAAAATGTCCTGTACAGCCGCAACATAACATCCCAACACCTATACTCAATGCACTGACCAATAAAGGCAAGTGCACCAAATTACCTCTTCACTACCCTGTCTACCTGTGACTCTATCTTCAAGGAGTTATGAACCTACAACCCAAGGTGTCCTTGTTCGGCAACACTCCCCAGGACCTTACCATTAAGTGTATAAGTCCTGCCCTGATTTGCCTTGACGAAATGCAACACCTCACATTGATCTAAAACTCCATCTGCCACTCCTTGGCCTGTCTGATAAAGATCCTGTTGTACGCTGAGAATAACCTTCTTCACTGTCCACTACGCCTCAAATCATTTATATATGACAAAAAACAGTGGATCCAGCACCGATCCTTATGGCACACTGCTGGTCACAGGCCTCCAGTCTGAAAAACAACACTTCACCATCACCCTCTGTCTCCTACATTCAAGCCAATTTTTTATCTAAATGGCTAGCTCTCCCTGGATTCCACATGATCTGACCTTGCTAACCAGTCTACTGTGTGGAGCCTTGTCATACGCCTTACTGAAATATTTTTTCCAAAAATAGGTAAGAGTTTATTGCAACACACAATGTTTGAAATTTCAAAATGGTGAAAGCAAGAGAATCATGGCTTTAAGGGCTGTTTTTTTTTTTTTTTGACGTATTTTTTCCAGTGCTGGAGCTGATTTCCTTGATTTTCTTGGAGCAGTAATTACTGTTGCTAGAAGTTTTTACTCTGTTTTTGGAGCTTTCAAAAAGATCAAAAACAACAATATTTTAAATGGGAAGAAAGACAGAGTGCAGTTTTGAGGGAAGGTACATGGGAGGTCTAAGAGGCTCTCGACTTCATCAAAAAACATAGTAGCAATGAACCTTCACAGCTGACTGACCAGGCAGTGAACCTTCACGGCTGACTGTGAAGTTATGAGCATTTCTGGAAATTGGAGTTTGGTCCAAGAGAAACAGTGAAATTCACAGCTGACTTTGGGGAGACTTCATTATTGGAACTACTCACAGCTGCGAGTGTCAGGATTTCATTGGTCAGCTAAGTGTTTTTAAGATTTTTAAAACTTAGCCATCTTGATTTTTTTTTTGTAAATCTATAATAATGAGTAGGGGGAGGGTTTTGTTTTTATGTTTTACTGAGATCTGTCTCAATTGTTTAAAATCTTTTAACGTGTGATGCTCCCACATTGAACAATGACAGGATGTTTTGTTACTGGGCGTTATAGGAAGAGTAGCACTCCTTAAGATTTCTAACATTGCATGACTGCTAAGGATGAGAAACCCGTGTAGTTTTATTCTTTTAGCTGCAATTATAATTACAGTTGATCAGCCATGTAATGAAGTAAGGTAGTAAAACATTTACAAATGTGATCTTCTGTTTCCAATGAAGAATCATCCATGCCATCTATGTGCCCTCAAAAGTTGTTCTCTTTTGTTTCCCTCCCACGACATGTACTGTGAATGACAGTCCCTGGTTGGCAGTGATTGACCTACTACATAGCTGAGATTTAAGTATGACACTGGCAGCAGAAATCCTGGAAGATCTGGAAAGTTTCAATTACTTCTGCCACTGATCAACACGCAATAACACAAAAACTGCCTTTGATGTGTAGTGCACACATAATGAGGTGAGTTATGGAGAATTGTAGAAATAGCTTTCTAGAGTTCAGACAGAAATCCTACATGAAACTGCCTGAAATTGACCCTTAGCAAATTTTTGGTTAAATTTAACTCCTAAATTTCTGTGAGAACAATGTTTTGGAGGCAACTGGAATTGGTCACCAGCCTGCTGAAGGAAAAATACTTCTCAGCTCAGCTCTCCTGATTCTAAAACAAAAACCCGAGTGTATCCAGAGTGTACCCGGAAGACTTTGAGGGAGTTTGTCGTAATATTTCCTAAATGACTGTGTCTGCAAAGGTCTCTCAGCTAGGTATACATTTCTAGCGAACTGTCTATAAATGTCAGAATGCCAGACTGAACATTCTATACTTTATCCTATTTGCCTTCAAGATCTAACTTTTATTGGTCAAAAATGTTTTCTTTTCAATGTGATTTTCTGCATAGAAATGTAGTTTTCTTGTTCCCCTTATGTAGTGTGTATGTGTTTTCTGGAGCACTTAGAAGTGTAAATATGTATACTTCCATATTTCGAAATGTTAATTAGCTTTATATCTTTACTGAATAAGTCTTGTTTTTCACAATAAATCAATCATTTTGTTTTTATTAAGGAAACTTGTGAATTTTTTCTTTTATTCTAAACCCAATATAGATAAATTGCCCATATCAGTACAAACCAAAAGAACTGCAGATGCTGTAAATCAGGAACAAAAACAAAGTTGCTGGAAAAGCTCAGCAGGTCTGGCAGCATCTGTGAAGGAGAAAACAGAGTTAATGTTTCGGGTCCGGTGACCCTTCCTCAGAAGGTTCTTGTTTTTGTCCATATCAGTAATTGGTTAAAACCACTTAATTTTATGTAATACAGAGTAGTGAGACGAAAGAGACACAGTGCACTCAGCTGAAAGCAAACTTGATGTCACTTAAAGTGTGTACCATGTCATGACTCACCATGTTTCCTAAACCAGGGAAAACAACTCCACACACTTTCAATTTGGTCCTCCCAAAGTGGGTTTGCTCAGCTTCAGGAGGGAAAATCAACCCCTTCAAATGTTAGGTACTTAACACTTCAACTCAGAAAACCTTCGTGTGTTTGCAATCTGATACTTTAATGAATTATTAACCTTTTAAGCATCAAGTCTGTTGCTTATACTAATTGCAATTAATTACGTCCAAACAAATGTGAAGATGAAACTGTTTGCATTATGTAGTCCCTACAAAGATGCAGGATGCTTGTAAAATAAGCAAAGAGAACTTTAGAACATGATCCAAAGAAACTAAAGGCAAAGTAGAAGAACTTTTAAAATTTACATAATATAAAACCAATTCTAACAAGTATATTGTCACTGGTTAAATTGCTAACATTTGATGTTAAAACAATTGATATAATTTTACAGGAATGTTCATTCATGAACAGAGGCACTCAAAAATTAGTGCTTCACAACATTTCATTACAAGTTTAAAACTTAAAACATTGGAAAGGGAAGAATATTTTTACCCAAACACAAATTGTCTTGAAAAAGGTAGTCAAAGATACTACACAATTACTAATGTAGTCTTGCATTTGTGAGATCATTTCTTAGGCCTCTAATCCATACCAAAATGCGTTTTATCTTATTCTTTTGTGCCACAGATCAAAACATGGTACCACATGCAGTCTCACATATTTCTGCCCATTGAATGAACACTCAAGGCATCCATATACTGTCTCTCTTCGGGAGCTTCCCATGCCACAAAGGGTACAGGGTCCTTTAGAGATATTATGATTGAGGAGATTGACTCGTGTGTGTACGTTATCTCTGAGGTAGTTCGTGGAAATGTCAGTCATGCTGGTAGCCTTTTCATAATAGTCAGCAATCAAATCTTCCAAATAAAGAGTGGAATTTCTGACATCATCTAGCACCTTTTCATCTGTTCAAATATAGAATAACACATAAAGTTTGCACTCACTGCAAACATAAATTTGTCACAAGAAGCCTGTGGTCAAATGTTACTTCTGATAGAACTGGAAAACAGCAGCTGGTAACAGCAAAGCAACAAAGCAAACTAATGTTTCATTTGTAATTTTTTCTATGAAGGAACAACCTTAGGTTTGTGGAGAGAGCTGTACCAGCAATTTTTATCGATCAGCTCAACAAATTTCTACTCCATTTGCTGATTGTAGTCTAATGGAAGATGAAGCAATTAACAGGTAGGTTCACCTCCAGCAAGGTAGACAAACAGGAGGCTGGAAGAGCACAGCAAGTAAGGCAGCATCTGGAGGAGGTGAAGTCACATTCGGGTTTCTGAAGAAGGGTAATACGTGAAATGTTGATTTCTCTTCCTGTAGATGCTGCCTGGCTTGCTGTGCTCTTCCAGCCTCCTATTTGTCTTCCTTGGATTCCAACATCTATAGTTTTTTTTGTCTGTAACCTTCAGCAACACAGCTTCTTCCTTACATCTGGGCACCTCTCTATATCATACCATGAATGCTGACAGTTTTTGTTAATATTATTGCAGAGACAAAAATGTGCAATTTTAAAAAAAACTATCAGGAAAAATGATATGTAAGGAGTTAAGTATTCCTGGTAAGCACAAGTGTATATTAAAATGTGCGCTTCTAAGCGATGAAAATGTGATTAGTACACACATAAGGCTTACCGTTAAAATAGCAAGAAAGGTCTGCTGCAGAGCACATGTAAATCACATGCTTACAAATATTTTAAAAAATTAAAACATTAATTGTATGCTAAGGAATTGTTAACATCAATTATGCATTTATATTAAAACAATATGACCTGTTACGAGCTCATAAAAGTTTGATTTAAACTCCAAGGAAGGATGGGGTAAAAACGGGCTAAGAAGACTGTTGAGCTGTAAATACCTACTGCTTGTTCTGACAGCTCAGTGACAAAGCGTAGATAAATGTAGAGCTCTTCCAAGCCTGGCAGTAGCCCTCATGTGAGCTCTGGGTTAGAGATTGGGATGATGGCCAAGCTTTGTTAAGTTAAGTTAGTTTTATTTTAATTGTACCTTATTATTAAATCATAGAATCCCTACTGTGCAGAAGTCCATCCAGTCTGCACCAACTTTCCAAAGGTCATTCACACCTCCCTAACAATCCCTGTAATCCTGCATTTTCCATGGCTAATCTACCTAGCCTGCGCATCCCTGGAATTGTGGGGCAATTTAGCACAGCCAGTCTGCCTAACCTTCACATCTTTGGATTGTGGGAGGAAATCCACACAGACACAGAGAGAACGCGCAAACTTCACATAGACAGTTGCCTGAGGATGGGATTGAACCTAGGTCCCTGGCACTGTGAGGCAACACTGCTAACCACTGAGCCACCAGAAATGTCTCTAATGATTCCTTTAAGCCCAATGATTAGGCTGCACATAGACCTAGAAATCCTGAACAAAACAATCCAATTCTTTAATCTGGGCAAATCAATTTCTAAATTGAGCCCTATTTTTGCTGTTAGGCTCCTTATAACATGTTGCAGGACGTGGTAGCATATGCTAGGAAAGCATCAATAGTGCCTATGCCAATGTAAATTTAGTTGAGTTTTTGAAACTGTTTGGTCCTGGGAGAATTTGTTTTGCCTCATGTTTTGCCTGGAAAATGACACCAAACGTCCCTCTCACCCCCAATATTCTTTAGAACAATTTAGTGGCATAATTTCACAAAGATCAAATACATACAATAAATTACTTATGAATTAGCGTATAATTTGGCATTCTTTTGATAAATGTAAAGTTCATGAAGGATTTAAAATGGCTATCATTAGCCAAATCAAAACAAGACACTGAGTTTTACAGACATACAGTTTCATTAGGTATATAACAAGTTCTGGGGCTCTTGTGGTGCAGCAGTAGGGTCCCTACCACTGTGCTGGCCAGTATAGATACAAGTCCCACCTGGCTCAGAGCAATGTTCTTTCTAAGCTGCACTAGCAGCTGCTTCAAGGTTCTACACACAGCAATTGATATTAGCATGTTGATTGCATCATTGATTTCTAGTTCTGGAAATTACTGCTGGGTACAGATCGCGGAGGTTCAGACAGCCGGAAAGAAAAGTATTGGGAACGTTGGCCCAGAGCTGTGTCATAATATCTCAGAACAGCTTGATTAAAACTATCACTAAGAAACACTGCCCAAAATAGTTATCAGCATTCACCAGTGGAATGTACTCTATGTTGTTGGTCAGACTGGAGAGGTCTGAAGCATATATGCACAGATAGTTAAAGGTGCAGTTGGAAGATAGTGAGTTAACCTTGTTGATAAATATGAACATTGCAAATGTACATTTACTTCAATTGTAATATAATCACTAGGATTTCATTGGCGGGAAATGCTTTTCAGTTGAAAGTGAATGATGTAGAATTCTTTATTATAAAACCCCAATTAACAGTTGGTGGCCACATTAACAGCTACTGCTATACATTTTCATCATGGGAGTTGTGAGTAGAACCAATACATAATATAATAAGGATAAAACATTGTATATGATGGCCTCGTCAGTGACACCCACAACCCATTGATAAAAGTATCCTAGCACCTGTGAGCATCTTATAAACCCACATAGCCGGCATGAATGCTACTTTACTAATAACACCAGTAATTATACAAAATTATAGTTCTGTGCAAATAACCAGGCTAAGGTGCTGCCTAAAGATGCTTTTGCTTCCCACAAGCTTAGATGCAACACAAAGTGAAAAACGTTAATCCTCATGTTAGGTTAGACTAGATTGAGGCTGCAAACCTAATTTGATAAAAGACATCAACCTGCAATGTTAACTCCATTCTTTTCTCCATAGACACTGCTAGACTTGCTAATTTTTTTTTTGAAATTTCTGTTCTGATTTTAGATTTCCAGCATCTGTAATATTTTGAATTTTCATTTCTAATTACCTTATTGCTTGTATTTCTTCATGACAGCTCACTTGTCAATTATAAACATCCGTGAACTTTAAATTAAAAGTACATAATTACATGATAATACTCGGCATCAACAAGATATATTGTGCATATTCTGCATCAATTGGTGCAAGATATATTTGGGACTTCAGTGTATTGTCTTCTTTATTTTACAATCTGTGTTATACCTTGTATGTCATACCACAATTACTCTGTAGCACATGAGGAAAGACTTACCTGATCTGAATGGACTGCCGTAAAAAAAATCAGACAGACATCGTCGCAATTTCCACACTGAGAATCGGCTCATTAAACCGCCCAATTGCTCAGTTATTTGTTCTTTTTCAAACCCACCTTCTGATTCAGATGTAACACAGAATTCTAGAAGAATGGGAACACAGATTTTCTTTTGTTAAGAGTGTTGCTTCAGCTGCACAACAATAACTACAACTATCTTACTGCTGATCAGCCTGCAAAATTTCCAAGTTCCAAATTTTCAATCCGCACTTTGAGACTTTATAATTTCAAAAACGACCCCACAAATGATTGGTAAATTTCTTGATGACACAAAGTTAGATAATACAGCAAGTCAGAAGAAGACACAACATGGGTACAAAGGAATATAGGTACTTAACTGAGTGGGCAAAGATCTGAAAGATGGAGTTTGTGGGAAAAAGTGAAGTTCATTTTCGCAAGAAGAATATGAAAGAAAAATGAGCTCTGAGATGCAAAAGGATCTAGCTGTCCTCAGCTTGACCCCCAAAAGGTTAGTATGCAAGTCCAGAAAGTAGTTAGGAAAGTGAACAGAACATTATCACTTCTTGTGAAGGGAATCGAATACAAAGGTAGGGACGGTATGCTTCACTTATTTAGTGCATTTGGTAAGACCACGTCTGGAGGACTGTGTACAATATTGCTGTCCTGATTTAGGGAAGACTGTAAATGTGTTGGAAACAGTTAACAGAGGTTTCCTAGACTAGTAACTAGAATGGATAGATTATCTTTTTGGGAAAAATTGGATAGGCTAAGCTTGTATCCACTCCAGGTTAGAAGAATAACAGGCAAAAACTTGTTCAAAACATATAAGGTCCTGATAGGTCATAATAACATGGATGTGGAAAGGATGGTTTCACTTGTTGGGGAATCTAGAACTAGATTTGACTCTTTAAAAAGAAGTCACCCATTTAAGACATTGATGAGGAGAAATGTTTTTTTCACAGAGGGTCGTGAATCTTTGGAATTTTCTTCTTCAAAAGGCAATGGAGGCAGAGTCCTTGAATATTTTTCCTCACAATTAAACAGATTCCTGATAAGCAAAGAGATGAAGTGTTATTGAGGATATGCAGAAACATGGAGTATTGAGGTCTGCTGGGATCTTGATGAATGTTGCAATATGTTAAGAGGTCAGTAACCTACTCCTACTCTTAAATCATATGACCATATGTAAAAGATAATCATTTTGACTAGGAAATCACTTTTTTAAAGCTCTTAAAATTATGTTCGTGATTCATATTTTATGGGTGCAAATGTCAGTAATTAACATTTTTCTACATTTAAACTAAGTAAATGAAAGCTAATAATTAATGACCACAGAAATTATCTGATAGTATATTCAAGAATTATTCAGCATTCACAAAATGCAATTTTAGGAGAATATGCAATATGTTACTTACCAAAATGCCCATCCAAATGGATATAGAGTTCAAATACATTAAATGCAATTGTTGTATGAGCTGGAATAACAATGGCTTTGTCACATCCTTTGTGATTTCGTCCATCATCAATCTGAAACTAGAGTGGGTGCCATATCAAAATTGGTTTTCTACTTTTACAAGCCAATATTAAATAAGATCTAATAGAAGTTTGACTGAAATATCTGGATTTTATTTTAATAAGATCTGAAACTAAAGTTGACACTGTAAAATTATCCTATCATTTGTTATTCTTTCATGGGATGTGGGCAAGACTGGCTAGGTCAGCGTTTGTTGCTTATCCTTAATTGTCCTGGAGAAGATGGCAGTGAACCACTTTCTCGGACCGCTACAGCTACACTTCTGTTCCGAAGGATTTCCAAGGATAATGACCCAGCAACGATGAAATGATAGCAATATAGTTCTAAGTCAGAATGGTGTGTGACTTGAAGGAGAACTTGTAGGCAGTGATGTTCTTCTGTATCTGCTTCCCAGTTCCTTCTAGATGGTAGAGCTCTTAAGTTTAGAAGGTTCTGTTGAAGGTGCCTTGATGAGTTATTGTAATGTATCATGCTACTACTGTGCATCATTGGTGGAGGGAATAAATGTTGAAGATGGTGCATGGGGTGCAAATAAGCAGGTTCTCTTGTCTCAGATGGTGTCAAACTTGTTGAGTGTTGCCGGTGCTCATCCAGATAAGTAAGGAGTATTCTATGACAGTTCTAACTTGCACCTTAGATATGGTAGACGAGCTTTGGAGCCAGGGGCCGAGTTACTCTAACCGCTGACCTGCTCTTATAACCTCAGTATTTATATAGCTGGTCTAGTTCAATTTCTGGTCGATGGTAACACCCTGGGGAATTCAGCAATGGAAATGTCATTAAATCTCAAGCGGTGATGGTTAGATCATCTACTGTTGGAAATGGTCACTACTTGGCACTTGTGTGAACTGAATATTATTTGCTATCGATCAACCTAAGCTTTGATGTTATCCAGGTCTTGCAGCTTAGGGGTACAGACTGCTTCAGAGTTATGAATAGTTCTGAATATTATGCAATCATCAGTGAACATCCCACTTCTGACTTTATGATAGAATGAAAGTCATCGATGAATCGACTGAAGATGGTTGGGTTGAGGACAATGCCCACAGAAACTCTTGCAGATTCCTGAGACTGAAATGATAGATCTCCAACAACCACGACCATCCTACTTTGTGCCAGGTAGTGGAGAGACTTCCCTCTGATTCCCATTGACTCCAGTTTTGCATGAGCACCTTGATGCCACACCGTCAAATGCAGCCACCCTAATATTACCTCTTGAATTCAGGTCTTTTGTCCATATTTGGAGCAAGGCTGCAATGAAATCTGAAGCTGAAAGGCCCTGGCAGAATGCAAACTGAGTACTAAGAGCAGCCTCTGCTTGTTAGTACTACTGATGATGCTCCCTATCACTGCTAATGATTGAAAACAGACTGACAGGATGGTTTGGTTAGATTTGTTCTGGCTTTTGAATCAAGATATCCTGGTGCAATTTTCCACAATGTAGGATCAATGCCAGTGTTGTGCATGTCCTGGAACAATTTAGCTAGAGGCACAACTAATTCAGAACTCTTCAGTAATATTGCTGTAATGTTATCAATTCTAATAACCTTTGCAATATTCAGTGCTTTCAGCTATTTCTTGATACCATTTGGAGTGAATCAAACTGGCTAAAATGTGGTACTTGTGATGCTAGGGACCACTGGAGGAGGCCAAGATGATTTGCCCACTCAGTACTTCAGGTTTAAGGTGTTTGCAAATGCTTTGTCCTTGTCTTTTGCACTGATGTGTTGGGCTCCCCCTCATTGAGGATGGGGATATTTGTATAGTCTCCTCCAGCTCTTAGTTGTTTCATTGCTCACCATTCTCAGCTGAATGTAGCTGAACTGCAGAGTTTAGATCCGATCCTTTGGTTGTGAGATCACTTAGCTCTGTCTATCACATGCTACTTTCACTGTTTGACGCACAAGTGGTCTATGTTGTAGTTTCAGCATGTTGACACCTTTTTGGTATGCCTGGTGCTGTTCCTGGCATGTCCTCCCGTTCTCTTCATTGAACTAAGCTTTATCCCCTGCTTGATGGTAATGGTAGAGTGGGGATTTGCTGGGCCATGAGGTTACAGATTGAGGCTAAACACAATTCTGTTGCTGCTTAGTCCACATGGTCTCACGGATGCCCAGTTTTAAGTTGGTAGTTATGTCCATGTAGCACAGTAGTAGTGTCACACAATATGTTGGAAGGTTTGCTGAAATGTGAAGACAGGACTCAGTTTCCACAAAGGCTGTATGAAGGATTCCGACCAATCTTGTTATGGATTGATGCATTTTGAAAGGTAGAATTGGGGAGGACAGGGTCAAATAAATTTCTCCATCACCTTCTGCTGGCACAGTCTTGCAGCCTTATCCTTCAGACTTTGGCCAGCTCACTCGTTAGTGGTATTAGCCACTATCCCCCAAAGTGCCCATCCAAATGGATATAGAGTTCAAATACATGAAAGGACAACACCATTTATCTGTGAAGTTTTTATTTTGTTTTTGGTTTTGTAAAAAGTAAAAGAAGGAATTTGTTTTAAAAATCAAATTAGACAAGGGAGAACCAGTAGACTTGATCTATTTGGATTTCCAGAAGGCCCTTGACAAGGTCCCGCACAGGAGGCTAAATAAGAAAAGAGCCCATGGCGTTAGAGGAAGGTACTGGCATGAGTAAAGGCTGACTGGAAGAAGGTAGAGAGTGAGGTTAAAGGGGTCTTTTTTCAGGATGTTATACATTGATGATCTTCACAAAGGAACTGAGGGCATTGTTGTTTCCGTCCTCTCTGGACTGACTTATCTCCTCCCTAACTCCCCACCTACACTCACCTTTACTGGCTCCATATACGCCTCTTTGACCTGTCTTTCTCCTCTCCGCCTATCTTCTCCTGTATCCATCTTCTATCCGCCTCCCCCTCTCTCCCTATTTATTTCAGAAGGCCCTTCCCCTCCCCCATTTCTGAAGAAGGGTCTAGGCCTGAAACGTCAGCCTTCCTGCTCCTCTGATGCTGCTTGGCCTGCTGTGTTCATCCAGCTCTACACCTTGTTATCTGAGGGCATTGTTGCTAAGTTTGCAGATGACACAAAGATAGATGAGGACAGATAGTGTTGAGGATACAGAGAGGCTGCAGAAGGACTTGGACAGGCTCGGAGAGTGGGCAAAGAAATGGCAGATGGGATCCAGTGCATGAAAGTATGCGGTTATGCACTTTGGTAGGAAGAATAGAAGCATAGATAATTTTCCAAATGAGGAAAGGCTTTGGAAATCTGAAACATAAAGGGACTTGGAAATCCTAGTTCAGGAGTTAAGGTTAACATGCAGGTTAAGTTGACATTTATGAAGGCAAATGCAATGTGAGCATTCAGTTCAATAGGGCTAGAATACAAGAGCAGAGATGTACTGATGAGGCTGTATAAGGCTCTTGTCAGATTATATTTGGAATATTGTAAGCAGTTTTGGGTCACGTATCTAAGGAAGGATGTGCTGGCATTGGAAGTGGATCCAGGGGATGTTTACAAGAATGATCCTGTAGATGAAGGGCTTGTCACATAAAGAATAGTTGAGGACTCTGGGTTTACACTCGATTAAGTTTAAAAGGATGAGGGCGGATCTCATTGAAACTTACAGAATACTGAGTGGCTGCATAGAGTGGATGTGGAAATGTTTCCTTTAATAGGATAGACTAGGACGTGAGGGCACAGCCTCAGAGTGAAGGGATGAAACTTTAGAACAGAGATGGGGTGAGTTTCTTCAGCCACAGGTTGGTTGATCTGTAGAACTCATTGCTGCAGAGGGCTGTGAAGGCCACGTCAGTGAGAGTATTTAGGACTGAGATAGATAGGTTCTTGATTGGTAAGGGGATCAACAGTTAGAGAGAGAAAGCAGGAAAATGGGCTTAAGAAACATATCAGCCATAATTGAATGGCGGAGCAAACTTGATGGGCTGAGTGGTCTAATTCTGCTCCTATGTCTTATGGTCTTATGATCTTCTGAAGCTTAATATAAGGTTCTTACAAAATTGGTGTTTAGTCATTGATACTTTTAGTTTGTTTGTTACAAAATAAGTCTTAAAGTGTGAAATCTTGTCATGTAAACTTTCACCTCACCAAGCAAAGTTAAAATTTCTTTTTAAAAATCAATAGCGCTATAAAGATATAATATATTGAATACTTTGCCTCATATAACGAAATACTTAAATACACTCTCATTATTACACATTTCATCAGCCAACTAAAAGCAGCTTGAAAAATCAAAATGAAATTTAAATTATTAGATAAAACAGTAATTATTTAAAATGAAGTAATACCAATTAATTGAAATATGTACCAGCTATATCATTGAATACAATAGCATATAAATATTATGAGTCTTACCCTCATTGTTTTACCTCTCATGCCTGCATGCACAGTAAGTGAGCATTGCCGTGTTGTACGGATACTTTCCATGACAACACACAATACAGCACGCCGACCTTCTTTCATCTGACGAACAAGACAATGTTCCATATCAATTTTTCTAAAGAGATATTAAAATGTTAATTTACTCCCAACTCATGAAAGAACTAGAAATCCAGAATTATTGAATTTACAGCACAGATGAAGCCATACTGCTCACAACGCCTGTGTTGCCTCTGACTTTATTCCATTCCGTCAACTTTACCGCATACCCTTGATTTTATGTAAGAAATACAGTATGATTCATAAAAGATAAGTGTTACTGTGCAATTAATTTATTAATAAACCTCTATAGAGAAACCTTTTTTTCAAATATTTATCCACTTCCCTTTCTTCCAAAATTCTGTAGATTCTGGTATAGTCCCAGAAGCTTTGGAGCTTGGCAAATGTAATCACATTATTTAAAAATGGAGGGAGGGGACAAAATTAAGGAATTAATCCAATTAAGGAAGGAAAGGAATTAAGTCGAAAGAAAAGCAGTCAGGAGGTCTAAAAGGGGTCATGAAAAGTAATTTGCCCACAGGATGAAGGAAAATCCTAAGGCTTTTTATACATATATAAAGAGCAAGAGGGTAGCCAGGCAGAGGGTTGGCCCACTCAAGGACAGGGAAGGGAATTTATGTGTGGAGTCAGAGGAAATGGGCGAGGTATTAAATGAGTACTTTGCATCAGTATTCACCATAGAGAAGGACTTGGTGAATGATAAATCTGGGGAAGGGTGTGTAGATAGTTTGGGTCATGTTGAGATCAAAAGGGAGGAGGTATTAGGGGTCTTGAAAAACATTAAGGTAGACAAGTCCTCAGGGTCTGATGAGATATACCCCAGAATACTGAGAGAGGCAAGGGAGGAAATTATTGGTGCCTTGAGGGAAATCTTTGTTTCCTCACTGGCTACAGGAGAGGTCCCAGAGGATTGGAGAATAGTCAATGTTGTTCCTTCGTTTAAGAAGGGTGGCAAGGATAATCCAGCGAATTACAGGCTGGTGAGCCTTACGTCAGTGGTAGGGAAATTATTGGAGAGGATTCTTCGAGACAGGATTTACTCCCACTTGGAAATCAGTGGGCATATTAGCGAGAGGCAACATGGTTTTGTGAAGGGGAGGTCGTGTCTCACTAACTTGGTTTAGTTTTTTGAGGAAGTAACAAAGATGATCGATGAGGCCAGGGCAGTAGATGTTGACTACATGGACTTCAGTAAGGCCTTTGACAAGGTCCCTCACGGCAGGCTGATACAGAAGGTAAAGTCGCATGGGGTCAGAGGTGAGCTTGCAAGATGGATTAAAAAACTGGCTCTGTCATAGAAGACAGAGGGTAGCAGTGGAAGGGTGCATTTCTGAATGGAGGGCTGTGACTAGTGGCTTTCCTCAGGGATCAGTGTTGGGACCTTTGCTGTTTGTAATATATATAAATGATTTGGAGGATATGTAACTGGTCTGATTAGTAAGTTTGCCGATGACACAAAGGTTGGTGGAATTGCAGATAGCGATGAGGGCCGTCAAAGGACACAGCTGAATATAGATCGGTTGGTGACTTGGGCAGAGAGATGGCAGATGGAGTTTAATCTGGAAAAATGTGAGGTAATGCATTTTGGAAGATCTAATCCAGATGGAAAATATACAGTAAATGACAGAACCCTTAAGAGTACTGATATGCAGAGGGATCTGAGTGTACAAATACACAGGTCACTGAAAGTGGCAACGCAGGTGGAGAAGGTCATCAACAAGGCAAATGGCATGCTTGCCTTCATTGGCCAGGGCATTGAGTTTAAAAATTGGCAGGTAAAGTTGCAGCTTTATAGAACCTTAGTTAGGCTGCATTTGGAATATTGTGTTCAATTCTGGTCACCACAGTACCAGAAGGATGTGGTGGCTTTGGAGAGGATACAAAAAAGATTTAACAGGATGTTGCCTGTATGGAGGGCATTAGCTATGAGGAGAGGTTGGAGAAACTTGGGTTGTTCTCACTGGAATGACAGAGGTTGAGGGGCGACCTGATAGATGTTCAAAGATTATGAACAGCGTGGACAGAGTGGACGGTCAGAAGCTTTTTCCCAGGGTGGAAGAGTCAGTTACCGGGGCCAAAAGTTTAAGGTGTGAGGGGAAAGGTTTAAAGATGATGTATGAGGCAAGTTTTTTAGACAGAGGGTGGTGGGTGCCTGGAACTCAATGTCGGGGGAGGTAGTGGAAGCAGATACTATAGTGACTTTTAAAGGGCATCTTGACAAATACATGAATAGGATGGGAATCGAGGCATACGGTCTCCAGAAGGGTAGGGGGTTTTAGTTGTGATGGGCAGCATGTCGGTGCAGGCTTGGAGGGCCAAAGGGTCTGTACCTGTGCTGTAATTTTCTTTGTTCTTTGTTAACTAATTTATTCTATCATCAGTGGCAGGGTAAATTGGGCTCACAAATGGCAAGTAATATTTGCACCACACAAGTGCTAGGCAATGACCATCTCTAGTGAGAGACAATCTAAGCACGTCCATTGACATTCAATGGTGTTACCATTACTGAATTCCCCACTATCAATACCTGGGGTTTAATATTGACCCAAGACTCAACTGGACTCGCCACATAAATGCAGTGACTACTAGAGCAGGTCAAAGGCGAGGAATACTGCTTTGGGTAACTCACCTCCTGACTCCCCAAATCTTGTCCACCATCTACAAGGCACAAGTCAGGAGTGTGATGGAATACTCCCCACTTGCCTGGGTGCAGTTCCAACAACACTCAAGAGGCTTGATACCATCAAGTCATAGCAGCTCGCTTGATTGGCACCACATCCACAAACATACACTTCCTCCACTACCGATGCTCAGTAGCAGCAGTGTGTACTGTCTACAAGATGCACTACAGAAATTCACCAAAGATCCTTAGGCAACACCTTCCAAACCAAAGACCACTTCCATCTAGAAGGACAAGGGCAGCAGGTACACAGGAACACCACCATCTGCAAGTTATCCTCTAAGCCACTCACCATCCTGACTCAGTCAGAAGTCACATGACACCAGGTTATAGTCTAACAGATTCATTTAAAATCACAAACTTTCAGAGTGCTGTTCCTTCGTCAGGTGAAGTGCCTGCATACACAGAAAGTGAGTACCTGATGAAGGAGCAGCACTCCGAAGGCTAGAGATTTTAAATAAACCTGTTGAACTATAATCTGGTGTCGTGTGACTTCTGACTTTGTCCATCCCAGTCCAACACTGGAATCTCCACATCATCATGACTTGGAAATGTATCACTGTTCCTTCACGGTCACTGGGTCAAAATCCTGAAATTCTGCCCTCCTAACGATGTTGTGGGTCAACCTACAGCACATGGACTGCTGCAGTTTATGAAGGCAGCTCACCACCACCTTCTCAAGGGGAGCTAGGGATGAGCAATATATGCTGGTCAGCCAGGGACACCATGTCCAACAAGTGAATAAAATAAAGGAAAAAATGTCAGAGTATATTATAAAATATGTGACAACTGAACAGTTAGATAATACCACTGGGATTACACTGGGATTTATGAAAAGGAAAATTCATCTAAGGACAGATATATTGGCATGGGAGACACTCCAGAGAAGGTTCACTAGGTTGATCCCAAGCATAGAGGGATTTTCTTATGAGGAGAGGTTGGGCCTGTACACATTGGAGTGTAGAAGAATGGGAGTTGACATTATTGAAAGATCAAAGATTCTTACGGGACTTTACAGGGTAGATGCTGAGAGGCTGTTTTGCTCAGTGGGAGCATCTAAGGCTAAAGGGCAAGCTTTCATTAAGAGGTCACCATTTAAGACACAGATGAAGAGATTTTTTTTAAAGGACAATGAATATGTGGAATTCTTTACCACAGTGGGCTTTTGAGGCTGGATCATTAAGTATCTTAGAAATGAAGGAGAGATAGATTTTCAATCAGTAGGTTATCGAAGGTTATGCAGAAAAGGCAGGAAAGTGGAGTTGCAGATTCTCAAATGAGCCATAACCCCATTGAATAGCAGAGCTGACTGAATGGGCTGAATGGCCTACTTCTGCTCCTACATCTTATGGTAAGCCCGAACTATGTTTATAATTGTTGTCTTAATTATTTGTGTTCAGTTAGGCTTTCTTAATGATGCTTTGGCAACTAATTACCTTCCATATAGTATCACTAAAATATAATAGGAACTGGCTGAATTACCTGTTAATGATCTCCCTAAGAAGTACTGGAACCTCTACCTCATGTTTTGTTACAATTCCAAAGGAAGCTTTCACTGCCACAGAATCAGATCCATCAACGTTAAATCCAACATCATGAATTATATGATTTCCAAGTTTCCCACTTAGGGAAACATCTGACTTATCTTCATAATTAAGAAGCTGATATGAAGATACACCTGTTAAATAGGAAACAATGCCTGATTACTTTTGTTATCTTTATTGGTTTTACACATATATTTATGTTCACATTTAGTTTAGCACTTCTAAGTTTTAATTTACTGATACAACTCTGTATGTGAAACTCAGAAGTCAATTACTTATAATTCCTGTTAAATTAACAATTCTGGAACGTGCTAATCCATTTTATAGCAATTTAGAAGGATCACTGGACCTGAAACATTGACTCTGTATTCTCTCCACAGATGCTGCCTGACCTGCAGAAGTTTCTGTTTTTTTAAAATTCAAGATATTGTGCAGTATACCTAAAATAGTAATTTTAACACAGAATTGTGCATCATGTAAGACTAGATACACAGTTTGGATGATGGTTTGGTGGAGGGCTCATTTAATCAAGTGGGAAGGTGGATAGATTGGCGGTAGGTGTATCCTTGTCCACTCTAATTAACTACATGATGGGGTCTTCTTGTTCCTCCACAATTGAGGTTCTTAGCTAATGAATGCCCACTTAAGGGCCTCCACCCACTGCTGCTCATACTAAGCCAATTGCAAGCAGCACACTTGCCATCTGGGATTGAGGACAGCCATATCTGTATGGGATGCTTGTGGACTCTTTGAGTGAGGACCCCTCATTCAAAGGTGCTTAGAGCCAGCTGAAGGGACCAGGCATCAGCAAGGGAGGTTAAAGGGGACTGACTGAAAGACAACTCTTTTGCTGCCAACTTCCTTCCCTGCATCATTCACCTGTGACCTAGGATCCAGCTATGATCCCAAGCCTCTGTTGGGTGTCATGCTGGCAGCAGCCATTAACCTCCCAGTGGTGCTGCCATTCAATAGGGCAGCCAGTCTCTGATTGGCTGATAGCTTTTAGTGGGTTCCATTTCCATCTCTGGGGTCTTTGATCTCAGTGAAAGCCCACCATCAGTCAGTCGAGTGCCTGAGTGGCTTCTGTTAGGGGCCACTTAGGGCTCCTGCAGCCAGCAGTTGAGACCCCTGTCACCTCACTATGCATCTAGCCATAGATTCCAGGCTTAATGAATGGAAATTAGTTGAAGATGATTCGGTTGTCTCGTTAGAGATGGTTATTGTCTGATACTTAAATGCCAAGTGTATCAGCCCAAACTGAATGTTGTTCAATTCTTCCTACACGTGAGCATAGACTAGTTGGGTACCTGAAGAAGTGTGAATGGTACTGATATTATGTAATCATCGATGCACGTTCTCATTTCCTACTTATGTTGGAAGGAAAATCATTGATGAAGCAGCAGGAGATAAACACCGCCATGTAGAACTCCTGTCGTCTTCCCAAGATAATTGACCTCCAACAATACAACTTCATTTTCCCTTTGAGTAATATCCTTAGAATTCACCATAGAGAAAATAAGATGGCCAAATGGCTTTTCCTCATATCTTATGTGTTCAGTAATCAACCAAGCTTGTAAGTATAGTACAAAATCACAAATTTAGTTAGGATTGTGAATAGAGTTTGAGCAGTTCAATTGATCATCAGATCATTTTGTTGTGATGATATAGTTTCCTAAAAAGCATTAAAACATTGCATGTGTAAAGTAAGTACATTACCTGCGGAAACCTCCTTTTCTCCAACAAGGATGTCCTTCAGAGTGAACGGTGTAGGGCTGTATTTCTTTTTATTCCAAAAGAACGATTTCTTCCTTTTTGTCACTAGACTGAGTGGTTGATATCTGTCAGCCTCACTCAGACCAGGAACAGGTTTCAGTCTGCCTGTATCTCCAACCTGCTTCACAAAGTTCTTTGTGGCAGCAGCAAACATTTCTTACCAGCAAAAACCTTATCTGCTTTGCTACAGTTGTTTCAACTGAAGATTAAATTCTGGAATTTTGAAATCAGTTATTGCCAGGAATCAAAAGTATTTGAAACTATAGTAACTTTGAAATTGTTGTCAGCCGTTTCTGGACTGTATCTTTTACACTCTTCTCTTGTGCTCAGGTTAATGAATAATGAACAGGCAGTTAACATGATACGGGTGTTTGTGACAATATCTCTTGCAGTCACAAGTTTATTCCAATTATCTAATGAGGATTTCAACCGAAATAGCAAACGAAAAACTGTGACTTTTAATTATACATAGGTTTAAGTGTACAATTTGATTATTGCTAATATATCAGGATATCTTTAATTCACAAGCAATAAAATCTTATTCCAAGAATTTATGAAGTGTGCGAACACATACTAGAATTCAGAACAAAATTTTTTTTGCTTCAGCTTCTGATATTATTGCTGCAATAAAGTAATAAATTCCTGGATTTGAATTAGAAACTTTGACCTAAAAAGAATTTGGCAACCTTTATTTGGAAATTAACAGAGAGAAAAAAATACATAGCTTGAACACGTATAAGGACCCAAACAAAAGTAGAACTGGTGAATTTCGACTATGATTGAGGTTTGAACTGCTGCCAGAATAATAACTTCCAAGGATTTGAGATTCTGAAGTTTCATCATAACCTTCCAAAATTTAAAAAAAATTAATTGCAATAAGGTTAAGTGATTTTGAAACATCGTATTGGGACCATATTGCTGGGTCCCTTCCTCAAGACTGATCCAAATAGCAGAACTGCATCTTCAGGAGCCCCATCTCCTGCTCCACCTTGGCCTGGATTGAATCATGGGCTGTATTGTATCTGGGCTCTGCATCAATCAGGGGATTTGACTAAGGTGTCATGGACCATGGTTGCAGTGGATATCTCTTGACCCATAAAAAGCTTTGTAATGCTTCTGGACCCTCAAATGTAGCAGGTACATGAGAGTGCTCCAGGCTATAGGAGTTGTGGCAGCTGAGCCTAGGGCTCGTTCACTCCTCTTGGCTTTCTTTTTCTTTTTTTTCTTCTCTTTACTTTTGCTCTTTTTCTTTTTGTTTCCTTTTCTTTAAAGTCTGGAGTGTGGTGGGTGAATGAGGAGGCCTCCAGCGGTAGCTGCAGCAACACCAGGGCAAGTCAAAGACAGCTCCACCCCAGTTCAGGGTCTCCTCTTCAGCAAGGAGCAGGTCCCTGGGCTTAGTTATCTGGCCCAGACTCACAGGCCAAGCTAAGGATCCAGGTCTGCAGCTAGGCCGGGGCGCCTGAAGGAGCGGAAGCATCGGTGAAAGGGACAGATGGCAAATTGGTGGCAACGTGTGGAGGAGCATCGGATGGGGAACAGGAGGCGATGAGTTGGCTTCCAGCGGTCCAGCGTGGCTGTCACGTCCTGGTGTGGCAGTCTTATCCTGGTTGTGTCTTCATGGTATCCCATTGTTCCTTAATCAGCTTTCCCTGACCCCAGGAACTGTTAACTGAACTGTGATGAGCTTTGTCCTAATTTTACTTTTTCAAAATTATTATGTATGACTTCTGTCATTAATATACGTGCCATGGTGTCACGACCTACAACATTTTTTTACTGTATTTTTCATGTAAAAGTACACATGACAATAAATTTCTATTCTATTCTTTTCTATCTGCAGGGTAGTGGGCACACATCTCCAGGAAGTGGTAACAGTGGTCACATTAATGGAATGGAATCCTGTCCTATTGATGTACTCTGCTGTATTGATGTACTATGGCTCTTTCAGTGTGACGTATGTGCAGTTGATAGTGCCCTGTGCCTGGGGGAAGCCAGCCATGCTGCTGAAGCCCATTGCCCAGGTTGCAGCACTGATTTTGTCACAGGGAAATGAAATGAACCAGTGTGGTGAGGGACAGATGGCACCAATCACTGGAAAACTGAGAGATCCAACACAGGTCCCCAGTGGTTCCTTGGAAGGATCCAGGCACATAGAAGTTAATCGTAGCTGCCACCATCACAGCCACCAAGAGAACACTGTCCCCACTCCTTCAGGTCCTGACTCAGCAGCTGGCACAGTTCAACCTCAGTGTTCAAGGAAAATACAGAGTCTGCACTGACACTGTGCCTCATTCATCCTGAGAAATTGGCTCTGAGGACAAAAGTCTCTGGCTCTCCTGTGTCCCTGCAGGGCTCTGCAGCTGTGACCTCTTCCTCTGCTGAAGGTTCTTTGCCGCCATAGTTGCTTGCTGTTGCCCCTAGGCTTGCTGTGACTTTGGCTTATCCTCTATCTGCCTTTGCCTTCTTAGCACTGTGATGAGTATGTTTCCTGTGGCCATACCCATCACTCTTGCAGGTAATGACCTGTGTTGCAAACATAAGGAACACAACAGATTCTTAGTTTGGAGAAGGCTCAGTGCTAGCAAGCACTGCATGATGGTTGCAAACATTCTTCCACCCAGAAAGGGAGGGTCACATATCGAGTGCTCATAGCTCTTTGAGATAGGCACTTACTTGGTAAAGGAGCTCCACTGGCTAAGTGACAAACTCTTTTATTGATCATCTGAAATGTATGTCCCTGATTCGTCTGTGGTTCTACCATAGAAAACCTATTTCTCTCTGTTTATTCTATCTAAATTGGTTGTAACTTTGAACAATATCCCAGGTCCAGTCTTTGCAAATAAAGGAATTCATTAATTGGGATAACATCAGTAAATCTCGTCTGAATTCTCTCTCCAGCCAATGGCATCCTCCTAAAGCGTGGAGCCCAGAATTAAAATCAACACACCCAGAAAGGCACATGTATCCTTAATGGAATTGTCCAGTGACCAGTGCCTCCTTTGCATCCAGAATTTGCTGGTTATCATATTGTTTCACATCATCGTCCTCCATAAAGCCAAGATTTGTTTGTTCATCTGCCAATGCCTGGTATGTCTTCATGTCCTCATCCTCAATGGTCTTTCCATTCAACAGAGTCACACTGTATAGAGAACAGCACATGGCAACAATAAATGACAGTGATCTCTTGCATGTTACAAAAGTCCTGTAGATTGGTTAAGGCAACAAAATCTCACCTTCAGAGGCCTATTGGCCTCAAAGTGTACTTGCGGATCCATGCTGTGTATTGAAACTCTCTTATCTGCGGGAACATATGGATGCCTGATGGGGATTATTAGACCTTATCTGGAACCAACCATCTTTTTTCTGTGTTGCAGGGGGTGTAAACAGCTGTGGTACTTGGGAATGCTTCAGGATGTTGACAAGAAGACAATTCCCCAGGATACTGCGCACACAGGATGCACTTACAGTAATCATGTACCAGTTGAGAAAGTGAAACCCTTTTAAAATTACAGCCATCCCTGACAGGCCTGTGGATGCTTCGATATTGACATGCGTGCAGGCAGTGGCCCCTTTGTGTTATTGAGAAGCCCAAGAAAACCTCAAAGTCTCTGTCAACCTGGTTATCTCCTGACTCTCCTGAACAAAGCATCTGTCACCGCTTTGATGCAGTGGTAGACTGAGGATTAAGATCTGCTGAGGATCTGATGCACAGAGGTTAAGGATAACTGTCACTTTAAGCACTACAATGACACAGTCTGAATGTAGTTAGAACTGCATCCACCAGCAATCATGTCACATGTGAAAGTGATACTTCCTTTGAAAGGCGTAGCCTTCTATGACAATAGTGCTCACTGATTTCCAAGTAATTTGAACACTGCCTATACAATCTGTCGACTGTATCTTCTTATTTTTCTGTATTTTTGATTGTAAATGGGACAGGACTGTTTTAAAGCCAAGGATTGCGAAAGGCATTTCTGCACTTTTAAAAAGCAAGTTACTCATTGTAAGTCATGTTTACACTACTCCTTTGGTTGAGCAGGATGTGGTGAGGCACGGTTTGCAGGCCGGCTGGCTTCAGGGGATTCGCTGCCAAGAGATTGCTGATTGGCTTGTGGAGTTGTGACCACTTGTGGATGACAAAGGCCAACAGCCTGACCACTATCTGATTGGCTCTTGAGTAGCTGGTCAGCTTGTGGATGTGAATGATACCTGCAGAAGGCTTTGGACTGTTGTAAAGATAGATGTTGTACCTAAAGCCCAAAGAAAGCCAGTTTATTTTCCATCACCAGTTACTTTAAGCTCTGGTCTTTAATCAGTAACTAAGAGATTTTGCAGTTAGTATACTAATTGCCTGTGTTTCTTGCAAAGCAGAGAATCTGAAGAAGATAGAATGAAGAACAGAAAATCCCAGTAAACAATAGAATCAGTTAGCAAATCCTGTGGACTGAGGCCATTGATCTGCTTCCCCAAGTATTTTAATCCCTGCACCCACACCTCAATTGTTTGTTTATCTGTGTCTCTCTGTCTATGTGTTTAGGAGGGAGAAGAGGTCATCCATCAGGGGGTTAGAGTTTTACTAGTAGAATTATAAGTCGCTAGTTTATGGTTGTTTACTTGTGGCTAAAATCTATTTACAGAAATCTGGTGTGTGTTTTCTATTAGCCTTTGTCTAGCTGACAGATAAATTGCAGATTTGCATACTTTGACAAAATTTTTAACTTCTGTGATGACTCCAGGAGCAGTGAGACTTGATTTCCAGCTCTTCCCCTATAAGGTGTGACAAATCTGTCATCTCCATTGTGTCTTTGCCCATGCTGTCATTCAGAGTCTCCATGATGCACTTGTTGATAGCAGCTTTCTGCTGTTTTTCATTTACCTTGGCCCTTGACACTCATGCTAACTCCATTCTACTACTCTGTCCCCAAATTCCTTCAACATGTTCCTTAACCTAAGTCTCTTGAAACAGCTTTCTGTTGTCTAGTGACAGAACATCATTTTCTTTGTGATGGTTTGCTGTCCCATTCTTTCTGTTGACTCCTCACTGTGGGTCCATGGCACTGTTTTCCCTCAGGGTTTGCCCTTGACAGATGTGGTTCATTCCCTTCACAGAAAAGTATTAATGAATTAGAGCAGTACAATGAGAAGATATTTGCTAAGCTCACAAAAGCACATATCCAGTTTTAGAATGATTTTGCCTGCAGGACTGTTGATCAAAACAATTTTCCCTGAGAAATCTGATGCATTCACTGTACTGCATACCAGAAATGTTAGACTGTGACACCTGTCTGTTGAGGAAGAATGCAAACTTGCTAATTGGAAGAATTTGAATTATTTTCTACATTTTCAGATACAGTTTTTATAGAGTTCTGACTTATTCAAGATTAAATAGACTATCAACGCTCATAACACCAACTGCACAATTATACTGGTTTACATTTAAGGGCGAAGAAGCAAGTCATTTTTACACCAAAGTTTGTGTTTTGTGTCATGAGATTGAGCCTGCCATATCTGCAGGCTAGGTGGATTAGTCATGGGAAATGCAGGGTTACAGAGATAGGGTGGGAGGTAGGGGGGTTGGGGGTGTAGGTGGTTGGGTCTGTGTGGGATGCTCTTCGGACGGTTGGTGTGGACTCATTTGGCCAAATGGCCTGTTTCCACACTACAGTGATTCTGTATTGTTTAATGCATAACCTGGTAAGAGGATATGCAATAAACGTGTGAAACCTATATATAACAGTCCAATGTAACTCCCCCATGCCTGGCAGAGAACAGGTGGAGGAAGAGGCAGCAATATACCTCTTATTGCATCCCTCCATGTCCAAAGATGAGCAGGCAATTTGCACAAAGGTCACTGGTTGATCTTCAATATACAGTTTGGGTCTCAGAGAACTAATGAGGAAGTACTCATTGTTTCCCCCACTTAGAAAGGTTTCACCTTTGGGGCAAACCTGCTAGGAGGTGGATCATCAGATCAAAAAAGACCCAAGAACTCTGTTTAAATGTTTTATTTAAAGTTTCCTTGGAAACTAGGAAAAACAGCAGTCCGTGATTTAAAAACATGCAACAATATGCTCACTATACAAAATAATGGCAACAGTCTTCAAACTGAAACGATTTTAGCATCACAAGTTCCACGACAGAAAGACTGAAAAATGAAAATGAAAGCAAGAGGCCCCTGTCAATAAACTGTCATTCTCTGAGCAGGAAACGTACCCAGGCTGCACCGGTGCAAACGTCGAATTGGAACCACTGGACCACAAAGGAAGCTGCAAACATTTCTAAGGTTGCTAAAAATAACCTAAGAAGAAATGGCCATCTGAACTTGCTATCAATATGGTCGTGGCTGATTCCCTGTCTTAACTCCACCTTCCTGCACTACCCCAACATAAAATCAGCAATAGGTTTTTCGCTGCCAAAGCATGCTCCACCACTCAATGTTATCTGCTTCTAACGTCAGGGCGGATAAATGAAAATGAAGCGCAATTAATGATTTTCCAGGGATTTTCTCTGGTTGGTGCTGTCGACATGTCTCACAGAGGTTTCTGGACAGTCTTACAGTCACAAATGGCTAATGCTGAGGAAACCTGGCGATCCTGCACCACGTGCTGGCTGAGCTGTCTGAGACATTGTTACGCCACGGGGACTTCCCGGGGATGACGATCGATATCGCGCTCGATGACGTCTTTAGAAACGCCAGGTGTGCGGAGTCGAAGACTACAATTCCCAGCGTGCGCCGCGGCTGAACAGCCGCCTTCCGCCGGAAGTGGTTTGAGCGGGGACCAGGAGCGGGTTTGAGTCCAAACTCGGGGAACAGAGCGCCTTTTCCGCGCGGCTACAATCCTACTCCGCCGGGACCGACATGTCCGAGGAAAGGTTTACAGCCGCGTCCAAAAGGAGCTCTGGATGCGCCAGGTGAGCGAGCGAGCGAGGGGTGGCAGAGGCGGTGGCGGGATGTGCACGGCCTCTGACTGCGTGAGTCGGGGAGCGCAGGGAGCAGTGTGTGTGTACACACTCACTACCCGTCTTCCTGCCTACAAGCTGCAAATCTCAAAACCCACAATCAGGGGCACCCACCCACCCTGTCTGATATCGATGGAGGACGAAGCTTTTGCTTTGGTTGCTTCCAAATATAATCCAGACACCAGGGAGCGTGGAGAGTCAGGATGGCATTCATTTTAATGCATGGCATCTTGCGCTTAAGGGAGATGAGTTGAGGGTGTGCAGATTGACACATGGGGATGTAATATCATTGCTCTCAAAGAGACACGGTTGAGGGAGGGACAGGACTTTCGCCTCGATATTCTCGAGTGCAGAAACTTAAGGTGTGCCAGGGAGGTTGTGGGGTTCACTGTTGGTCAAGGAGTGAATTACTGCAGTAAGAAGGGATGCTATCTTAGAAAGTTCCTCAATCAAAACCGTATGGGTAGAATTTAAAAGCCAAAATGGTGGTATACTATAGCCCCTTCCCCCCCCCCCCCCCACAAAAAAAGTGTCAGGAGGGTATAGAAAGACATACACGGAGGCAAATCTCAGCTGTGTAATGAATGCTAGAGTAAATATAGTAGGGGATTTCAGCTTCTCCAAGGTTAGCTGGGATAGACAAGTGTGAAAGGCTTGAAGGGGTGAAATTCTTAAAATGTGTTCTTGAGAGCTTTTTAAGCTAGCACACAGAAAGTGCTGCAAGTGCTACCCCTGACTTAATTTTAGGGAATGAAGCAAGAAAGTGATGGATGTGTCAGTGGGAACATTCCAGTCATGGTTACCATAATTTGGTAAGACTTAAGGTAATAATGAATAGGGTTAAGGATGGTTTGGAAATAAAGGTTCTGATTTGTGGGAAGGCTAATTTTAATAAAGGTAGGATCTGTACAAAGTAGACTGAGAGCAGCCACTTGCGGGAAAATGCACATCAGAGTGGTAGGAGCCATTCAAAAGAGTAGCAGTGAGAGTGCATGACCACCTCTTGCCTGTAAAAGTAAAAGGTGGGATCAATAAGCCCAGAGAATCCTGGATACTGACAGGCAATCTGTGTGCGGAGCTGGTAGATATAGCTGAAGTTTTAAATGATATAACATGGTATAGAGCTGGATGAACACAGCAGGCCAAGCAGCATCAGAGGAGCAGGAAAGCTGATGTTTCGGGTCTAGACCCTTCTTCAGAAATGGGGGAGGGGAAGAGGATTCTGAAATAAATAGGGAGAGAGGGGGAGGCAGATAGAAGATGGATAGAGGAAAAGATAGGTGGAGAGGAGACGGACAGGTCAAAGAGGCGGGGTTGGAGCCAGTAAAGATGAGTGTAGGGAGTTAGGAAGGGCATAGGTCAGTCCAGGGAGGACGGACAGGTCAAGGAGTGGGATGAGGCTGGTAGGTAGGTAGGTAGGGCTTGAAGTGGGAAGAGTGGATAGGTGGGAGGAAGGACAGGTTAGGGAGGTGGGGACGAGCTGGGCTGGTTTTGGGATGCGGTAGGGGGAGGGGAGATTTTGAAGCTTGTGAAGTCCACTTGATACCATTGGGCTGCAGGGTTCCCAAGCAGAATATGAGGTGCTGTTCCTGCAACTTTTGGGTGGCATCGTTATGGCACTGCAGGAGGCCCAGGATGGACATGTCGTCCAAGGAGGGGGAGTTGAAATGGTTCGCGACTGGGAGGTGCAGACGTTTGACGCGAACCAAGCATAGGTGTTCCACAAAGCAGTACCCAAGCTTCCGCTTGGTTTCCCTGATGTAGAGGAGGCCACGTCGGGAACAGTGGATACAGTATACCACGTTAGCAGATGTGCATGTGAATATCTGTTTGATGTGGAAGGTCTTCTTGGGGCCTGGGATGGAGGTGAGGGGGGAGGTGTAGGGGCAGGTGTAGCACCTCCT